GGCGCGCCAGCCCTTCCTACATACCCCATAAAGCTGACAAGCAATTATATTCACTGAAAGGAGCCATGCTGTGAGAGCAAAGAAAGGCTGAGAAAGGCAGCGAAAGCAGGGCTTTTTGTACCCACGCTCAGGGAGCGGGCAGCAGCGCTTCGCGGAGAACATCGCATGGGACCTTATGGGATGCTCCTTCTCCTTTCAGGTCACGTCCTTCTATGTCCCGCACCTGCAGGGAAAGTTGCGGTACAGGAACAAAGAGTGACTGGGGTTTAAGGCTGACATTCACTGTTTCCCGCAGGGAAGGGCATGCAGCTTGCAGGTGGATAGCACTGAGTGATCCACCTCAGAGCCTCGGCAGGCACTCTGCTCGCTGGACCATGTCCTAGGGGCTCTGAAGCAGCTGAGCCTTTCACAGCAGGAAAGGGAGAGGAGCTAACTGAATTGGAAAATGCTGTAGCTACGGCATAGCCTTGTCCATGTAGGAAGCAACTGCGCTTCACTCCAGGCACTTGCAAGTGGCTGGAGTTTCCAGGACAGTTGAATTCAGAAGGAGCAGACTTGGGGAGAGGCTGTGGAGATAAATGCAGGAATAGGCTCTAATGCCAAACCTATAGCCTGACCACAGGACTCAGCTGGCAGAGGTGACCTCCAAGGGTGTGGTATTTCCACAGAGTCTTCCTTTTAGTCTAAGCAATGATTCCCCCAGCAGCTTGCATGGCCAAAGGCAGAAAGCCAGCTCTCACCCACAGCCCCAGCGTAAGAGCTCATGGCAGAAGGTGCAAATTGAGACTGGCTTCAAAAGAGAGACACACCAGTAAGGAAAGGGACCGCGGCAGAGGAGCCAGGAGCTCTGTGCATTTCCCAGCAATGTCTTTGTGGCCTGTGTACCTCCCTGATCCTAGAGGTGCCAGGCAAGACACCCTGGTGTCTCAGACACCTGGGGCTCACCCCACCACCCTCAATCAGCAGCTCCCCTTTCGCAGGTGATAGCAGCAGTGGGATGGAGACAAACCTTCGCCCCTCTCTTTCTCCCTCCCCATCCCATCCACGCTCCAGCTCTGACAGTGAAGTCAACATAAGGGGCAGGCGGGTGGCTTCCTCATCCTTGTGCCAGCAGCCGCTGTGTCGACAACAAAAAGCCAGGGAGGAATCAGCCCAAAGCTGTAAAGTGTGGGGTTTTTTTTTTTCCCCTCTCTCAAATAGAAGTCCATTAATAATCAGCAAAGCGTTTAATGAGAGGCTAGAAGGAGTTCTCAGCGTTAAGAGGGGATTAAGGGTAATCTTCATCGCTCATGCTTCCTTGCTGTGCGGAGGCGGTTCTGACCTGCGCCTGCCAAAAGGGCCCAAGGCAAGGCAGGGCTGGGACATGCAGCCCTGGGGGATGCAGGGCTGCGACTCACCTGATGAAGGGTCCTATGGGAATGAAACAAGACACGGGTTAAACATGACCAGTTTTCAAGCAGCCATTCACATTTAAAAATCATCCTGATTTCCTCTTTATTAATCCAGGCTCCCTCTTAAAGAGGGGGCTGCAAGTTCTGCTGACATGAAAAGGAGAGCATCTTTTCATCTGAGCACACAGCTCTAATTCAAATTTGGCCAAACAGATCCTCTGACAGTTTGCAATGTGTGATTTGCTCAGACAGGCGTCGCAGCCTTTGCGCTGGGATGAAGCTAAACTGCTAAACCAGAAATCTTGTACCATATGGGTCCCTTACAGACCAGACAGGGGATGTGCTGTCCTCAGGGTCTCTGGAGTAAACATGCATGAAAAAGGTTTGGTGCATAGCATGTTCCCAGCTCTCTCGCCCACAGCGGGGAAGGAACAGCCCCTGGGGCCATCCCACCTTCTGTGCCTGCTCCCAGAACGCCAGCAGCTTCCCTGGCTGCCACCAGCACAGAAGCAAGGTTTCCAGGAGTTTATGACTCTAGAAAGAACCAAATGTTTGGATCTGGCACCTCAAAGCCCTGTGAGAGATGCTGACCCCCTACAGCCAAGCTGGGAAACAGAAATTACATCTTCTCCACCTGACCTCAGCCAGGCTGGCACTACAAAGAGCCGCAATTGGCCCAGGGAGCCAAAAGCAGTGTGGAATATCTTGGAGCAGTGATTAGATTTTAGAAAGTCATGATCTCATCTTGCATCTCCTGGGAGCAAGGAGAAAAGCATCCTCACAGATTAAAATTTTGGTTCCAAATTATTCATTCAGCTCTGGGAGCAGGAAACTCATTTTCCCAGCTTTGTATTTCTGTCAAACGCTGTGCTTAATTCTCTTTTCATATCGCTTTTATACTGGTTTGACACCACTGATTTATGTATAGCTACTCCTAATCTGTGGTAGTGAAAGGAAAGGCACACTCAGATATGCTGTCCTAGATTTCACTGTATTATCTGCTGATTTCAACTACCCCGTTTCTCTCTCAGGCACTACTACGAAAGGGGTTTTCTAGAATGCTCTCAACCATCCAGACCAGCTGGTTTCTCCCCTGCCTATGTTCAGAGTCCTGCTTTGCAGGCTTCGAGCACTGGGTTGCAGCTTTGCCGAGTGCTTCCCTTCTTGCCTCGCAACCCTCCACTCTCTCTCACCAATTCCCAGAGAGGTTGTTTGCTCTTCTCCAGCTCTGCTAGGTCTTCCCAACTCCCCCACGTTTTATGTCATCAGGAAACTTGGACATTTTTTATGCTGTGCCTCCCTCAAGGTCACAAATCTCAAAGGGGACTCAGGCACCAATGCAGTGTGCTGTATGTCCCCTTTTCCCAGCCTGAAGCTTTTTCCCCTGATACTCTGCTCTCTGTTCCTGTGGGGTTAATGAATCTCTTTTCAAAGCCTCCTCAACCTAACCTGGGTAGATCAGTGGTAGCTCCTAAAAAAAACTAGCTCCTAAAAATATCCAGGAAAGACAACCATGCCGGTATTTAACTGTGCTGCTGTACTTTGAGAAGGGCGAAGTGCCTGGCTGCAGCTGGAGACTGTTTTGTCTCCCATCTCTCAACTCCGTCATGTCCTCCGTATGTTCTAGCAAATTCATCAGGCATGACTCACAGACCTTCCCTGTACACATTCCTGTCTGCTGACTGCCCCTTCCTAAAATTAGACTCTATTCTTGTTGGCACGCGAGTTCAGTCACAGGGGAAGGTGAGGAGCTGCAGACCCACGTCCCTTCCTTGTGTCGGGAGCCGAGTCCGGAAGGGACTGGTGTTCAGGCTGAGGAGGATGATCCCTTTTCCCTGCGCAGCTTTGTCCTTGGCCCTGCTGCTACAGTGGAGGGTGCGGATGATAAATGTTTCCATCCTCTGAGAGCTGGCTGGAGACCACTGTCTCGTTTCATGAAGGCCAGCCCCTGATGGATGAGAATGCTCTGGGTCAACACCGACTTGATCATCTACTCCAGACAGGAAGGACACCTCCCCCTGTGAAATCCTGGAGTTCACAATTGCTTGCTGCTCCTTCTTCTAAAGTCCCAAATTCGCGTGCACTTAGCCATGTACCTCTTTCAGCAACCTTTTTGCTCACTGAAGTACTCACTAGAATCAGTCTGGGTCCGAAAGGCTTATCCAGACATCCTGTTCCTAAGAGTCTCACTGGTGGGTGTGGGCCTCCCATCTCCTAGAAAGAGGAGCTCTGAAGGCTGGACTCTGGGTGTTGTTTGGGGAGGAGAGAAAGGAATAAGGTCGTTGCTCTGCTAAGTGTAGAACAGCACTGACCTTCAGCTGGGGAATTTTGTTCTCCTCTTATTTTCTCTATTCCCGGAGGAACATTCACCAGGAGTGAAGTCAGTTGTTAGGAGACACTGACACTACAGCTAGAATATTTTTGGCCACATTCAGGTGGCTCGGACTAACTATAAATCCAACAAGTGTTACTGGAGACATGCATACTTGCATCCTTCTTTTACTGTTGACCTCAGCCCCAGCCCTGGAAGGGCAGTGTTGTGCAATGGTTACAAAGCAATAAAAGTATTATTCTTTGATGAGAGTCAGAAAAAATTGACTCCTCCTCACCCTGCTGACCTCCTGGGGCTAGTCAGGGTCCTAGCAGTCTTGTTAGCATTTACTGCCTTTGGGTTCGGGGCATGAGCTGGAGATTGTGAATTAAATTTGACCAGAGGAGAGAGAACAGGACTCCAACCTGCTGCACTGAGCACTGAAGGACTGTGCCAAGCCTACGAGGTAAAACCTTCCACCTGAGATGCCAAGAAGGGCTGTGCACTGCGCAGCTCCTTGGGAAGAGGCTCCCGGCGAGGCTGTGCAGGAGCCCAGCGGGTACTCCAGAGCCTGGCTCTCCCTGGCAAGGCTGGCAACTACACAGATCCACCCTGCAGCTGGAAACTCCACTGTGCTCTGGAGTTGGGAATAAATACAAAGCCTTGGGCTACTGCTTTCATGGCCTGTGCTTTTCACATTACAATGGTCCATCGGTGCTGCTGCAGCATGTTCTGTCCTGTTAGCTGTAAGTAGATGGTTGCCCGATATCCTCTGACCATCTGAGAGACAGCCTATCAGCCACAAAATGTGCATAAAAAAACTTCTGTCAAACTAACAGGGAAAAGCAAAAGAAACACTCCCATTTACTACTCCTGAATTTCAAACCTCCAGAGTGCTCATCAAAGCATTCAGTTTTCATACTTCCAAGGCAGATTTTGCACTTCCTCCCAGCTGTCACTGTCAGACCGTAATAAGAGACAACAGAGAAAATGTGGTGCGTGGCTGGGAAGGATGAGATGAATGAGCTACTTGGTGGTCTGCTCTGTTGTCAAAAGAAACTCCTTCCAAGGGTCAGCTATTTCACATGTGTCTAATGCAACTCATATTCTCAGCAGAGATCTCCTAGAACCTCACTGGTAATTCAGACATGGAAGTAGTCTGCAGTTTCCAGGTGCCATACCCAGAACATACACAGGAAGGACCCTGAGCAAGGTCCTTTCCTTCTCCCTTCCTTGCCCTTGCTCTGTCTCCTGCCTGCGGCTGTGACTTTGCCTCTGTAAAGGCTCTGCTCTCCCTCCTTGCAGACAGCCCGTCAGCTCCAGTAAATGTCACAGTCAAACACCTGAAAGCCAACTCAGCCGTTGTGACTTGGGATGTTCTGGAAGATGAAGTTGTCATTGGATTTGCAATTTCCCAACAGGTATGGTGTCTATAGTTACCCAGATTTGGTCATGTTCGTCTTCACCCCAGGTCCCCTCAGTTTCCAAATTTTCTTGCTGCAGTTTAAGCCCATTCCTTCTCGTCCTGTCCCTTGTGGTCTGGGAGGGGACTTGGCTTCCCGTCCTCTTTGCAGCAGCACTTCATGCATTGGTAGCTGCAGAGAGGAAAGGGTCTGACGGTCTCCACACCCGTGGTGGACAGGGCAGGAAGCAGTGGTCTTAGATGACAGCAGTGCACACAGGAGGCCTCTCCACCACTCTGTGCTCTCCTCTCTCGGCTTCCAGAAGAAGGACGTGCGGATGCTGCGCTTCATCCAGGAGGTGAACACCACCACCCGCTCCTGTGCCCTCTGGGACCTAGAGGAGGACACTGAGTACATTGTGCATGTCCAGTCCATCAGCATCCAAGGCCAGAGCCCTGCCAGTGAGCCAGTCCTCTTCAAGACCCCCAGGGAAGCTGAGAAACTAGCCTCTAAAAATAAAGGCAAGTGTGGGTGAGTTCCTGTGTGGCCCCTGGGACGCCCAGGCAGTGTAGGGCACTGCAGAGAAGAAAGCAGTAACCTGTGCAATGAGAATAGCTGAGTTAAACACACACAGGGCTGACTGCCCTCTCACAGCCCTACGTGGACAAGCAGGGTGCCCTGAGTGTACGCAGCAGACAAGGCTGATGGGTGCACAGAGCGATAGGGAGATGGTGCTGAAGGCTGGCTGTTCATTTCTCTCACTCCAGATGAGGTTTAACAGGCAAACTGAGGAGAGGGCTTCTAGCCTGGAAGCAGTGTCTCCAGCATCCTTGCAAGTAGAAAAAGCCAGGGGGAATTCCTGAGCAGCCTGTGAACTCATGTGGAACTAGACCCCTGGATGGCACTGGGCACAACAACGCTGTGCTCACAGGGCACTCGAGGGGCATTCGCTGAGCCTCCTGTGCTTGGATTCCAGGACAGCAGGGGGAAAAAACAAACAAAAAACCAACCAAACAAAACAGACTCCCACTTTTCTTACATTTCAAATATTTCTGCCAAATCACAGAAAGTTGAGGTTGGAAGGGACCTCTTGAGAACATCTAATCCAAAACCCTGCTCAGGCTGGGTCAACTAGAGCAGGTTGTCCAGGATCATCTCCAGTTGGGTTTTGAATATCTCCACAGAGGAAATCAGGTACTTCCTCACTGGCAACTCCTTCACTTGTCCCTCTTAAGCCAAACCAGATTGTTGAAGGTTTTCTGTCAGCTAGAATCTCTGCTACAAAAAGAGCTAGGGAGTACAGGGGTCTGGGATATGAAGGGTTACTCCCTGCCTACTGAGGACACAGCCTGTTGCAGGGCTTTTGGCCGTGGTTCCTAGGATGTCGGGAGTTCTTGACTCTTTCTGCTAAAATGATTTGGTGTCTGTAAATACTGAATTGCTCTTCATCTGAAAGCACTAAGAGGTGCACTGCTTCCCTCCCTGGAGGCCTGAACTGTATTCTTCTTAGTGCTTTGAAGCCAAGGAGGTGCATTACGCCCTGCAAAAAGGCTCTACTCATTTCTGAATCCCCTGGCTCCACTGAAAAATACCACGCCAGGCTCCACGCTCCTGAACTGGGAGAGGAATTGCTGAAGCATGCAAGGCTTTGACAGGCGCAGACTGCACTACCAGAGACCAGAGCAGGGCAAGCCGCCACAGGGCCAGAAAACGTGTGGACTTACCCCATGGCAGCTCCTCTGCGGTATCTGCCTGTTGATCCTGTCTCACTGCTCCTCCGTCGCCCCATCTCCTGCAGGTTGTCAGGGGCAGTTGCTCCAGAGCAGCCCGTGCTCTGCAAGTTCAAAGCACAGCTTGTGTTGCCGGTGAGAGCCACGGGTGAGGACTCTCCCCCTGCTAGCTTTGACCCTGCCGCACTGATGATTTGAGTCAAGGGCACTGTGAAACTGGTGTCTAGCACAGCCTGAGCCACACAGTTAGGTTTCATGATCTCTCTTTCCCCTTGTGCAGATGAGGTGACGATGAAGGAGATGGCGAAGAAAAACCAACAGCTGCGAGCAGGGGAAATTCTCATCATTGTTGTGGTGTTGTTTATGTGGGCAGGTCAGTTCAATCTTTCTCTCAAAAGCACATAACACCCCTAGGGCCTGCTGGCTTGCTTGGTTTGCACGTGTGATCATGTAAGACCTGAAACCCTTCCTCCCACAAAGACTACTGCATATTTCAGCTGTAAGGGCACCTCAGTTCCCTCTGCAGCATCACAAATTGGGCAGTGCCAAAAACAGGTGAATCAGCGATCTGATCTGGTCCAGCACGAAGTAGATAATGGACTTGATGAACCAATTGCCTAATTTAACATAGCAAATCCTGTAATCTTAATTTTTCCAGAATGCACTGATGATAATGCCCTCAGCCATCCAACAGGATGCCTCGAGCCCTTCAAATGATACAGGTTACTGTAATTATCTGGCTATTACACGACTGCAACTTTCATGCAAAACAGAAATTTAAAAGTCTCGCTCTTAACACCCACTATTATATATACACTAAAACCCACTTCAAAATCAATTAAAATAATGGAAGCATTGAAAGAACAAATGGCCCCAAACATCAAAACACCAGTAAACCTAGATCCTCTCAGCACCCACTATTAAAATACAAAGAGCACCTGGTGCTGTGGGAGGAGCAGTAAAGCCACCCTAGGGCCACTTTGGAGTGGGATGCAATGGGCATAGCTAGGCACTAACACAGCCTCTAACAGAGCATCAGATAAATGTGCTCCTTCAACATGAAGATCCCTCACTACAACTTTCTGTACTATGTACAAATATATAAATTGAATTTCCAAAGATAACCAAGTGTTTTCCAAGATGAGTTTGGAATCACATTTCAACAGAGCTTACACCAAATTGTACCTAGGACAGATCTCGCTCATATGTTTTAAGCTGGCAAACAGGGAGAGGCAAACTCTTCCGAGTCCTGCTCCCTCAGCTTAGCATGTTTGAAGCGGCCACAGCCAGCCCTTCAGCTTGTTCAGTTTGGAAATTACATGCATGCGTTAATGGGAAATAAAGTTTGCACGTTTGTTTTCTATTTAGAGCCCCAGCCAACCCCTGGCTGCCAGTCAGCTGCTGCAACGTAAAACATTAATGAAAAAACATTTGCTCCCTGCGAGTCACAGAGCACATTGCCCAGGGGAGAATGGTTCAGGTGACCCAAGGAAATTGTAAGGAAGGGAAATTAGCACTATGGTAAATCCATGACCCATAAAAGACAACCTTTTCCACTTGGTATTTAGTCCTCTTGTCCCAGTTAAACCACTTTTCCACACAGAAATTTGCCTCGGTCAGAAGAGAAACCCACCACAGTAGTATTGAGTGGCTGATGACTTTGACAACTTGCTGTTTCAGTTTACAGAAAGACACCTTTTCAGTTTCAGGTAACATTATTGCCTTTAAAGACGGTGGTCTGTCATCTCTGCTAATCTTGAATTGATAGGGGTTGGCCCAGTTTACTTCACCAGAGGATTTGTCCCACTTATACTAGATTCTGCTGAGATCAGACACCTCCGTCGAGAAATGTGAAGAGGAAACCAGTCACTGGTCTGAGATCTGTCACTAAAGAGGGAGATGGAGGGATTACAAGTCCTGTACAGTTCTGCAAGGTTTCTTACAAGTGAATCCAGGTGACACAGAACCAGATCCACATATAATTTTTTTTTTGCCTTGTAAAGTCCTGAGTTTACCATGCATTATTTGCATTTTCAGAGACTGGGCAGCAATTATTGCTAAAGATGATAATCAAATGAAAACCTAAACTAAATTAAAAGCTTTCCAAAATCTCTAGTCCATGATCTTTTCAGCATTTATGTCAAGTTTTATTTGTGCACATTCAAATTTAAATGCCTTGCCAGTAAAAACAATGATGAATAATTACATGAAGCAACTGAACAACTGTTTCACGTCCCACTGTAGTATAATCTAAAACTCAGATCAGTGTCAAAACAAAGAATTTGCTAATACCACAATTTCCCTTCTAGACAGAGGACTTACATTTGAAAAGGAAAGTGGGTGGGGGGAAAATCTCTCTACATCTAGTGGCTTCTTTACAAAGTCTCAACATACAAAACCCTCTTTCCAGCTCTTAACCTGGCCTGGCCATAACCTGAACGTATGATGATGTTTCAGCAAATGCAAACCACAACCAGTCTGTGCCCAGGGCTCTGAACTGAGGCAAGACCCAAGCTCTTGTGCTATCTGTATTTCTGGTATTGTTCAGAGCACTTTGCTTCTCTGTGCCTCAGTTTTACCATCAGAAATCACGGAAGGTGTGGCTGTGGCACATGTTAACCCATTCTCCTAGGATCAGCCATTTGTTCACATATGCATGAAAGAATGTGCACCACTGTGTTTATCAGTAACACCTAGGGGCAGCTGCCATTAACACCTCGCTTTATAAAGCGGTTTGTGATGATCTGGCGAAAGCTTTACATATGTTTTGCTATTACAGGAGCTGGAATATTTTTTCAGTAAGGGAGAAAAGCCGTATCTGCCTGGGTCTACTTAACCTCCGTGTTTGGAATCTGCAGGCAGAGAAGTTATTTTGTCAAAATGTCACATAAAAGCTTCTGAGAAAGACATTTGCAATCTTCTTATGTGCCATGGCTGCCCCTGGTTTTCTCTTCATGTGGCTGCGTGTGTGGGAGGAAATTTCCACTGGCAGCTTTTGCTGCCGTCACTATTACATATTTGCAGATGTTGTCCGGCTGCTCAAAAGGCCCTGGCTTGTATCACATGCAGGCAGGTACGGTACCTGCCTCTCATCTGCCAGCTCCTTCTCGTCACCCCAGAGGAGAAACATCAGAGGAAACATTTTCACTAACCAGAAATTCCAAGAGCTCCTGTGTTTGCAAAGCAAAGATCCCTTTTAACCGCATGGTTAGCGTTGATCGCTATCCAAACGTAGGGCTTAAAACACTTGTCCTATTTAATGACAGGGAAGTTGGAATATAATTAATCTTCTGTCCTTCTGTCTAACTAGTTTAGCGTGGAATTAGCCATCAAGAAGGAAACAGCCAGAGGGCTGACTAGCTGTGTTAGAAAATGATCCTTAGGAGCGATTATGAATGCTGCTGAGATCGCTACCAGAAGGCAGAAATTCGGCTGGCAAGCAAGGGATCTCTGATCTGTGCAGGCTCCAGGGGCTGAGCATATTTGTGTGATCACTAATGCTTTTTCCTGTTAGGGGTGATCGCCCTGTTTTGCAGACAGTACGATATCATCAAAGATAATGAGCCAAATAACAGCAAGGAGAAAGTCAAGAGCGCCTCGGAGAACAGCACTCCCGAGCACCAGAGTGGAGGGCTCCTCCGCAGCAAGGTGAGATGCTGCTGGCACACAGTGGGGCCCAGGGCAGACGATCAACTTCCCGCTGGGCTTCAGCTGAATTACCCAAAAAGCAGCCTCTGTTAAACATCCTCACTCCAGCCTCCTCCCTCCAGCTGGGATGCAGAAAGGAAACAGCCCTTCACATCCACGCGTGCCAGTACCACAGCTTTGTTAGTGGTCTGAGCCTCCCAGGCACATCAGGGCACCGGCACTTCACTCCCACTTCTGGATGAGCCTGCATGTCCATCAGTAAAACAGATTTCAATCCATATTTCTGAAATACCTGACCATCTCTGAAAGAAAAACGCACTGAGCGATGCTGCAAGTCCCTGAGCCGCTTGGATCCTTACCCCCACAACAGCCTTTAGGTGGCACGTGGTAAAGGAGATATTACTCTTGCAATTAACTAATGAGCTGATTGGCAGGAGCATGGCTGGTAATACACATGATGTTAAAGGTATGTCATATCCAACATGTAAGCAGACTCAAGCCTATAATTTATATCAACTTATTTCAATTAATTTAACTTTCTTATGTTTCTATTCACAACTTGCACTCTGGCACATGCCCACCACTTCACATTTACTTACTATTTCAAATAGTCCACTAATTTATGCTCATTCAGAAGCAGACAGCGATGAACCATGCAACCCTAAAGCCTCAACTCTGGTCCTTTTTCATTGTTCTGAGGGGAGGGGAACAAGAACTTTTACAAAAACAAAAACTGAACAGCACACTGCACTCTTCTCTGATGTGGGGTTGGGGTTTTTTTTTCCTCTCTAGCAATTCCTATACATCCTTTTCTTCCTTTGTCTCCTCTTCTCTTCCAGTTTCCAAAAAACAAGCCCTCGGTGAATATCATTGAAGCATGACAGTCTGCCATCTGATAGATGGACTCCATTCCTCACTATCACTTTCTGCCTCTGAGCCTTGATGACTAGGGAGGTGAAATATTGTTGGAGCAATTTGGAGAGAGACCTAGTGATTGTCACTTGCTGGCACACACCTCCTTGTCTGTGTTCTGCAAAACATCTGGCCAGAAAGAAAAATCCTGCAAAAAACCCTGAAACAAACAATTAAGATGGAAAAGCATCAGTGAGACAGCTGCTGCCGGTGATCCTGTACCGGACTCATGAATCACCTGGGCTGGAGCAACTTCTCACGCACTCCTCTCCACCCTCACACTCCATCTTCTGGAACAATTTTCCAGTCTTTGGAAAGGTACAAGGTTTTGTTGTATCTTTATTTTGTCTCACTGTCACTACATCTTGACAGTATTAATGTGAGCTCAGGCATCAGTCACTGTCACTCCTCTCCAAGCAAGAAAGGAGGAAAGCTCAACCCAGACACGACTAGCAACCAGATTTTGGCTGCTGTGTGCTCTCGGCTTGCTTTGTTCCATTGATGTGTGTTGTGTAACACGTCTTGCAGGTGGGTTTTTAAAAGAAAAAAAGAAAGAAAAAAGGCATACCCCAGTTTCCATTCCCATTGTAAGAACTTCCCTGGTTGTTCTCCTGTTAGGCTGCAGCACGTCTCCACCGTTGCTGTCTCTCCTATCTTGCACTGGTGCTCTTCATCTCGGATAATCGGGGCACACCAAACACTGAGGCACAGACCAATATGAGGGGACACCAGAAGCCGTTATTTAGCTTCCAGGATAATTTCAACCATTTTCTTCATGGTATTTTCAGCTGGGCCTGTGTCCACCACCAGTGTGATAAATGGTCCATAAAAATGTAGCCAGTCAGCAAAAAAAAAAAGAAAAAAAGAAAAACTCATGATACCGGTTGCTATGCAAGGTCTCCAATGGCAATAGCTATTTATTGCAAAAGGCTCCTGCCTAAGGGACCTTTTTCTGAGGGCTTAAGTTCCTAAATTGCTTCTTTTAGTACGGTTCCTGTGGGAAGGTCTGGTTCTCCTTACACGTCCCATCTGCACTATTTTTGTGACGTTGTAATGCCAGGTATCGGCTGGAGTCAGTCCTCCGTAAAAAGGATGATGATGAATGGGAAAGGGGTTGGGCTTCTCCTCTCTCTTATTAAGTGCTTGATGTTTGTAGGCTGACAGGATCCCTGGGATTGCTGGTGCTCTGGAAGCTGGTAGATGCAAGTACATCACATGGAAGATTTACTCTTTGTAGTGTGCCATGGGGTATCTGTATTTACTTAATCACTCCACAAGACCACTCCATATGCACTAGGGGATGAGGCAAGATCCTACTTGTTCCATCAAATACCAAGACAGGTTGGCCTGAGTAGGGCTGGAATCTCCTTACAACAAATGTGCACTCAGATGAGCTTGGTTGAAAAGGCCCTGCAAAGAAACAGGCTGGCAGTAACAGAGTTCAGCCATCTCTCCTCTTCCACTGTCACCAGCCTTTCCAAAATAGTTGATTTGGGAGAAAGGCACTAGGAAGTCTGCTTGCAGATGTGTTGGTGAACAAGCAAGGTCTTCCCTTGTGCCAGTTTTGGAGGGCAGGCCAACCCCAAAGGTCTCTTCAGTGGATCCTTTGCCAGAACATAGTCCTCCATCACCAAGAGGGAGAGGTCAACACCTCTGATACAGACAGAGCAATAAACATTTTATAATGTATAATAAAAGATTAAAGGCATATCTTGTGTCCTTGTAATGCCTGAGTTCAGTAATATTTCATCGTTGCCTGCTTTGAGCAGAACACACACAATAAAACAGGGGGACTTTCTCTGTATTTCCCTGGGACTACAGCATAAAATGTTTTTTCAATGTCTGGGTGTAGAAAATCAGAAAGGTTCACCAGAGTTCTCTCTGGCTGCAGGACGAGGGGAAAGAAAAACTTGCAACATAAATAGCACTACAGCCATACCTAAGCAAGATTCTTCAGACATGTCTGTTATCTCCGAAGAAAGAAATGTCATTTGGAATCCATACCCCTATAAAGGGAGATTTAGGACAGATGGTACAGCATGTACAAAACGATAAGGGAGATGCTCTCTCATAATCCTAGAGCAGACAGCCAAGCAAGCAGCCCTCAGAAGCCTGGTAGTGAAGAATTTCAGCCTGGTAATTTGTCAGGTTTGGGGGATGGGGGGCTATGTGTCTCTTTTTAAAGACAGTTGTCCCTGGGAATTCAGGCCATATCCCCTTTTCTGGGGGAAACTGTTATTTTTTCTGGGAACTGTTATTCCCTAGTGACAGGTTTAAACTATTTCTTTCCTAACAGAGATGCGCTCGCTCCTTGTTTGGCAGAAAAGAGGAATTAAAATGTAAAGCATCAGTGTCCACTCAGAATTAAGTATTCGCACCATCATATGGCAGGAGGTAAAAGGGTTATCATTATGTTCCATAACTGCAGAATTTAAAGGTAAAGTAATAATGCTATTACTGAGAAGAAACAAATGTAAGCTGGCAGCAACTCAACTCAGAGAGGGATTCCAAGTTATCCAATTCAAGTTATTCTCTTAAAGGAGGTGTTTTCAGTGACTATGAATGGATGTACTAAGTTCACACTTTAGCAAAAGGTGTTTCCCATTATAGGAGAAGTTAGTTACTTAAAATCCTACTTTTCTGAGGGTGACAACCATCAAAGCTTTAACTGCTCTTTTGGTATCAACTTCCACTGTAACCCACAAGAGTTAGACACCATTAGGGCTCTGGGCCTGTGTGACTTGAAGCCTAAGCCCGCCTTTAAGAAGAGATACCTCATTCTCGTCAACAGTTGCCAAAATATACTCCTGAGGTGTTTTACAGTCAATAAAGGGAACAGATCAAGAAAAAAACAAACAAGAGAGCGCTGAGGAAAGTCACGTTGGGCCATAGAAGAACGCACCCTGAAGGCCACCCACATTTCCCCGCATGTTTTTGCCTGACATTGTTTTGACTGGTTGTTGGAAGCAGAAGCTAGGAAAGGGAGGTGTCAGTAAGGACTAAAAATCAGCAAGTGGGAGTGGGCTGGCACGACAGGGATCCCAGAGAGCCCTGCAGGAACCGAGTCCCCACTGAACTCAAAAGCAAAGGAAAGCAGCTCTCCAGCTGGTTCTGCTGATGCCGTGCAGCCCCTGGGGACTAATCCCGTTGATTTCCAAGAATCAACTGAGCAGAGACTAGGAGCACAACAAGGAGCAAGAAGCTGAAAACAGAACCCTTTGCCAATATACGCAGTGCGTGTTTAAAGTTAAGCACCACTTGCCTTCATCCTTTCAAGCACTGCAATATTATGCCTACAAGTACAATTTAGCCAATATATTCCTCCCCCACGAGTTTAGTAAAACGGAGCCGCAGGAGGCGGTGTGGAGCAAACAATCCTGCACAGCATGTCCTTCCAATTCACAACACACAGCACCACACACTTCTCACCACCTCCCCTCCGTACAACAAGCAGCAGCACAAGCTCTGTTCTCTGTCTCCTCGGAGGAAAATGAGAACATTAGGCATTTTATTCCCTGACAGTTCAATAGCATCAGAGGAGGAAACACCTACACGACAGAAAGTGTTAGTATAATCTCAGCTGGTAATGACTTTCTAGAGGAGATGTAAATGGAGAGGAACAGACTGCTAATGCCAGTATTTGCCAAAGACATTAAAGGTTACATCACTCAAAAGCCTATGTCACAGCTGCACATCCATTTTGCTGATAAAAATATGGCAATTCATTGACTGAGTAGTCAGACTTCACTTCCCAAGGAGAGAGTTGAAGATTATACCATATGTTACACCAAATGTAATTTCCCCAGATTTGCAGAAAAGCTTCCTAACATGTAATGAGCTATTACTGGCTAGTCTGGAAGCAGAAGCCTAGCTGACCAAATTCAATCAGCTTTCTAGCGTTTGTTAAAAAGCTGTATGATCAACATGCTTGTTATGCTAAAATATCTTGTTTCCTCCACAAATCTGCTGTCTATTAAATCGTCTGATGACCTTATAGATTAAAATGATTATGTTCCTACTTGTTAGTGCTTTAGCCCACACATCTTGAGGAAAGTGAGCTGGATTCTCTTTCAGCTCATGCATCAGCATCAATTTTGTTTAACTAAGTTCCAAATGAAGAATCTTTATTATTAGTGACGGAGCCAGGAAAGACACAGCTTGAATTTTAGATCCCAGATGGAGTCAGCAAAGTTGGCAGCCAGAAAAGCCATCTTTTTGCTTGCAATCTGAATACATTGGATGCGGAGTCATTGAGTGGCAATAATGACATAGCCCCACGATGCCATTTGACACTTTCTAGCACATTGCTGTCCTTTTTAACTGACAAAAA